CCTCCTCCTCCTCCTCCTCCTCCTTCTCCTCCCCCTCTTCGCCCTCCCTTCCTCGGGTCGCCTACGGCCCTGAGGGGGGCCGTCCAGAGGGAAACGTTTGGGACGCATATTGAAAACCTCTTGGTTTCGTGACCACCGTTCCTCCAGTTTCAAATGGCTGGAGGAGCACATCGGCGTCACCCCAACAGATTTACACTTTGTGTGTGTCGCCCCCCCCCAAGGGCGACGCGTGCACCGAGAAATCTAATGGTACGTAGCACCCCGCAATTGCGGATAAGAGTGAGGGGGCGGGCGCGGGCGACGCGGGCGTCGTCGAGCCGGCGGACCTCGTGGCCCCCACCTTCCCTGTCGATGGCGCTCTCCTCCTCCTCCTCCTCCTCCTCCTCTTCCTCGTCTTCGTCCGCATCGTCATCGTCATCCTCTTCCTACACTCGTCCTCCTCCTCCTCTTCTTCCTCGTCGTCCGTCTCCCCCCCCCGTCCTTTCATCATCGTCCTCCAATTGTCGTCCTCCCCCTCATCGGCCTCCATCATCGTCCTCCCGTTGTCGTCCATCATCATCATCATCCTCCCTTTCCTCCCCCTCCTCGTCCTCCTCCTCCCCCTCCTCCCCCTCCTTCGCCTCCTCGTCCTCCTGCTCCTCCTTCCTTTCTTTCTCCACATTCTCCTTACATCCTCTCTTCTTCCGCGTTCTTTTCTTTCCCTGTTTACTTCTCCTGCCTCCCCATCCCTTCCCAAGATAACTGCAACGCAATCCTCTTTGCCCACTTTATGCTCCCCGCCTTCTCTGATCAAGGCAATTCGCCAGGGCAGAGTTGCTGGACGGGCTGGTGTGGATGCGCGGGGCTTGAGGAGGTCCTTGCGAGCTCAGACGGCATGCAAAAATCCGCCGCCGCGCTTGTGCGGCGTTGCTTTGTTCAGTGAGCGTGGTTTAGGTCGCGGGTGGGTCGCGGGTTCCCCACCTCCACCTGGAAAGAATGCAGAAGCAGCCCGCCGCAGGCGCCAACAAACATTGGTTTGTACACTGAACGTGGTTTGGGTCGCGGGTGGGCCGCGGGTTCTCCACCGGAAACGAATGCAAAAGATGCCCGCCGCAGGCGCCGAAGCATGTGGTTTATACCTTGAGCGTGGTGGCGGGTGGGCCGCGGGCTCTTCCACAAGAAACGAATGCAAAAGATGCCCGCCGCAGGCGCCGAAAAATGTGGTTTGTACCCTGAACGTGGTTTGGGTCGCGGGTTGGTCGCGAGTTGGTCACGGGGTGGGTCGCGGGCTCTCCACCTGGAAGGAGTGCAAAAAAAACCCGCCGCAGGCGCCGAAAATTGTGGTTTGTCCCTTGAACGTAGTTTGGGTCGCGGGTGGGTCGCGGGTGGGTCGCGGGGTAGGTCGCCGGTGGGTCGCGGGTGGGTCGCGGGTGGGTCGCGGGTGGGTCGCGGGATGGCCGCGGGCGGGTCGCAGGGTGGGTCGCGGGGTGGGTCGCGGGGTGGGTCGCGGGTGGGTCGCTGGTGGGTCGCGGGGTGGGTCGCGGGGTGGGTCGCGGGTGGGTCGCGGGGCGGGTTGCGGGTGGGACGACGACAACAAACAACACCACCAACAACAACAACAACAACACCAACAACAACAACAACAACAACAACAACAACAACAACAATTACTAGCACGTGGGGACACTCCGTTCTCACCAGTGCCAGGGTTTTCATAGGAGGCGGGCAATACCCCCACTTTGTGGGGGGGCCGGTTCAAGCTCTACCAAATTTCCAAACGACTCTTCGCCACCACCCACACCCAGCTTCCCGCCCTATGACGTTCGGACACTTCACTTCGTGGCATGCGGACGACCGTGGCTACTATTCAGGGCCCCGCGGCCGACGACGACGGCGTGCGCGCGCGAAGAAAAAACGAATGTGTCCCGCATGGTATTATTCGACAGGGATGATGGCCCTGGCAGGTGCGCAACCGTTGTTGCAGAAGTTCGAAAAAGTTGCTCGCAAAAGCCCGTTTGACAGAAATGTTTAAAAAGTGTTGGGTTTCCTACGAATCCGCAAGAACGCGCGGGATGAAGTTTCGACATTTGTTTGAAAAACCATGGGTTTTTTGATGTTTTTATGTTAAAATCGCTACGAAAACTAAGGTTTTGGAAGGATTTCGTCTTGCGCGCGCGAGTGTCCACTTTACCTTATTTTTTGCAAGGGATTCTTGAAGTTTGGATATGTTAGAACAAGAAATTTCATTTTATAGTGTTTTTTTGCAAGGGAAAGCGGGCGTCAACAAAACAACCGGATCTGGATGACATCGTTTTGCCTGAGGCTTCCTCACGAAAGTGATGAAAACGTGGCTGCGGCCTAGGCGCGGCGGGGGGGGCGTGCACCAGGGGGCCCAACAATAATTATTCTTTAGAAGTAATAGTATTCAATAACAATAACAACAACAACAAACAACAACAAACAACAACAAACAACAACAAACAACAACAAACAACAACAACCAACAACAAACAACAACAACACCACCAACAACAACACCAACAACAACAACAACAACGATCATCCGCACTGCGGAGTTCCACTTCAGCCACGCACCCAGGGACAGTGAATGACCGTTCGGCCCCCTCGCTCTGATCTGCGTCGTGGCGCCGCTCGTGAAACGATATACTACAAGATTGGTATACTGTATCTTCGGGCCGCCTCCAAGGAAAACGTATAGTACTACTACGTTTGTGTGCGTCCCAGCAGAGATGACTTTTCCACTGGCTACCGCGGGCGGAGGAGGAGGAGGAGGAGGAGGAGGAGGAGGAGGAGGAGGAGGAGGAGGAGGAGGAGGAGGAGGAGGAGGAGGAGGAGGGAGGAGGAGGAGGGAACAGCAGCAACAGCAGGCGCAGCCGCGCAGAAGGGGACCCCGCCCCCGCGGCGGGCCTCCGCCGCGCGGCCCTCGCCGGGAGCCCCGCGCGGCGTGGGCGCGGGGCACGCGGCTCAGGGGCAGCCTTCGGGGGGGACCGGCTCAGACCACCAGCCCTCAGCATCGTGTCGCCGACCCCCATCCCCATCGTCATCGCCATCCAGGCGCCCAGCATCTCCCCCGGGCGATCGCAGACATGGATCAAAGAGGCGTGGATTAGCGCCGGGTCCCGCTTCCATGGGTATTCGCGCACTTCCGCCGCCGAGCGAGGCGGGCACCGGCCGCATTTTGGGACGAGCACCTCCCACGATCCATGGATGCGGCGACCGCGCGCCAAATCCATGGATCGCTAATCCATGTTTGCGCGCCCCCGACCCATCCCCATCCCCATCGCCATCCACACCCACACCATCTCCCCCCCTCACCTTGGGAAATACCCTCGAGACCCGAAGAAAATGGCCCATATCCCCATCTGGGGGAGAAATCAACCAGTGGGGCCCAGGCCACGCCATTGGGGATATGGGGACGGATACACGATGCGGTCAGGGGCACCGTTCGGGTCTTCGGCGGGGATGTGCTCAGGGAGGACGAAGTGTTATGTTGCAGCTTCGGGGGACCTCGTCTGTCCCCCGGAAGAGGTGTCTTCTCTCGTGCCCGACGTGGGCTCGATGCGGATTCGACGCGAATTCGGCGGGGACTCGACGCTGATTCGACGAGGCCGACACGGATTCGAGACGGATTCGACGCGAATCGGGGCGCGACAGGACAGACAAGGTCCCCCAATGATGCGACACAAGAGGTATCGTGTTTTTATATGGTTTTTCAAGTTTTCGGACGTCTCCGTTGGTCCTCGGCTGCGTTCTGGCCTTGGGCTGCCCTCCAGCAGCTGCGCCTCGCCGAGAGCGTTCCAGGGGTGCTCGGATCGTCCCGAACGGCCGCCGCAGAGCCGGCTCGGGTCGTGGGCTGCGTTCGGAGAGGTCAGGGGCAAACCCAGACACCCCGCGTCTCGAAAAAAGTCGAGACGGAGGTGTTTCAGCGTTTTCGGCCTCTCCAGGCCTTTACCTAGCCTCGGGACCGTCAGAAAACGGCTCGGGATGAAAACTCTGTCCCAGGGAGGTGGTCGAGAGGTCGGGGGCCCGTGCCTGGCACAACTGAGACGCTGGCTGTCTGGAACGTTAAGGTTCCGGTTCGAGGTTTCTTTGGTGTTTGGATGTTTCGTGTGTTCTGGGTTTCTTGGGCCGTCTTGAGTTGACGGAAGCCCGAAAAGGCTAGGGCAATCAGGGGTTTTGTTTTCCGCGGGTGCTGTTCGAGGCCCTTTTTGTGGCTCCCATTGGGCCCTGCTGGAGGCAGCCTCGGGGCGCCTCTCGGGGCTGCCAGGAATCGTCCCGAGCGGCCGCCGAAGGCCCAGGGTGTGCCCGTGACACGGGGGAGCGGAATGTAAGGGCAACGTTCGGGGTGTGCGTTCAGGGGGGATGCATCGATCCCCAGCCTTACCAGTTTGAAATCCCTATCCCTATGTTTGGTATCACCTCGGCTCGGTGCCGATCTCAAGGATTCCCTCGGTTTTGAGCGCAATACCCTAAGACTGCGAACGCCTCCTGCTTGCTGATCTCAGGGATAGGGATAAGTTCGAGTCTTGGTACAATCGCCCATTAGTCGCCGATAGGGGCCCGATGGACCAGCCCGCCCAGGAACTTGAGATGTAGGCGGTGTATCGCCGTGTCCAGATCGATACTGCCCCTCCCCCCCTTGAGCCTCAGTATCGTTTATGGTCGATCCCCACCTCTGCTGGGCCACGGCATCGCAGCCCCACCCCCCCGCGAAACCACCTGGAGGGCGCATCACACATCATCTCTTCATCTAGGGGGTAAGCTGGTCGGGGGGGCCACGGTCATGCTCGCGGGGATGAGGATCTAAGGATTGCAAAAAAACAAAAAAAACAAGGATTGCAAAGGATTGCAAAAAAACCTTCGTTTGAACGAAGGATTGCAAAAAAAACCCTTCGTTTTTTGCAATCCTAGGTATTTTTGCAATCCTTCGTTGAAGCGATGCTCAGAGCCGGTTCCCCCCCCATCGTTTCCCCTCACATTCGGGCGCCGCTGCCGCCCAGCATGCGATTCGGCAAGCGCTTCGCCGAGGTCGCGCAGAGCGGCAGGCCGAATGAGCCGTACGTGTCGTACAAGGCCCGTGGCCCCTCCACATCCCCCCCTCCCCCTCCTCCTCCCCCTCCTCCCCCTCCTCCTCCCCCTCCTCCCCCTCCTCCTCTCCCTCCTCCCCTCCTCCTCTGCCTGCTCTTCCTCGTCCTTCTCATCCTCATCATCCCCCTCCGCCACTCCGGGGTGGGGGCCGTATCCGGTATCCGAACAGAACGGCGTAATCATCAACGTTCGGAGGTCCACGCGGATTCGTCGGATCGGCGCTAATATCCCTCTGGCGTCGCCCATCGCGCGCTCTGCACGCCGGGAGATCGCGGGGCAGCTTGCCAGCGCCTCTTGCCTCGACACGGTGGGCCCAGCAGCTGTTGGCGCGACCGGGCAAAGGCATAGACGCAGCGGCTTCTCCTCCTCCTCCCTCTCCTCCTTGCAGCCATATTTTCAGTTGCGGCAGCCGTTCCACTGCAACCGCTGGCCGCTGCAGAGGGCCTGGCCACGAGGGGCGCATGGGTCAGGGCATTGCCTCCTCCCCCACACATCGGGCGCTTCGAGGCAGTTTTGGAGGCTGGCCTGCCGCCATGTGTGGCCTGCAGAGGCGGGTGTCGCGCCTTGGGACCGCGTTTCGCGCTCCAGCGAGTGGGTCCAGCGCCAGATCAAAACGATCGCGGACCTGTAAAATGTTATATGAGTGTGCAGCTTCTTGTTTCTCTAAACTTCTCATCCTGCGATATCGCCTCCGAATCCACGCCAGGGATTTTTCCACATCCACATGTCTTGGCGTGCTCCCCGAGGATCTCGTGGAGTGGAAACATCCAGACCCAACGCTCTGTGAGATCCTCGGGGGTGCGTCTCGAAACCAGTGGACGTAGAGACAGCGGCATGGGAGTTGAGAACTCAGGTTTGGAGGGGTTCCCTTCTGTTCCGTCGAGTTTGCGCACCCATCTTGGAGTGCTCTTCGCTTGGGTGTCTCACTAGAGCCTTGACTCTTCGTCGAAGGGGCTCGTGTCCTTGACGTGCGCTCTTGTGACCACGTTTTGACTCTTCGGTTGGAGGCGATGATTGATGATGTTGTTGTTGCCGGGCCCGCGCGTGGGCATCATCGTCGCCGTCGTCTTTCTGATTATTTGGCCGTCCTCTCAATACTATACGTCGGAACATTAAGTTTTTACAATTGTTCTCCCCCGTGTTGTTTCTTTTTGTTATGCTACACTCGTCCCCAGGCCTGGAACTCCGCGGTTTCCCTTCCTCATGCCGACGGCTCGGCATTGCCTCTCCAATTTTCTCCCTGGCCGAAGGAGCTCAAGCACACGGTCAGCAAGGTCCCGCCCCCCTTTGCTTGAGCTCCTCCACGACGATGCCTGTCGCCCGTCGGATAAGCCTGCATACGTACCGTGCAGGCAGGCGGGGATGAGAGATCGGAAGGCGGAGGGGACATGGAAGGAGGGGTGGAACGAGTTAGTGGGGATGGGTGGGAGGGAGAAAGAGGTAGAAGGACGGATAGGGATGCGATAAGGGGAGGGGGAGACAGATGGGAGGGGTGAGCGAAATAATACTTGCATTTGGTCCCTTGTCTCCCTCAACGACAATTGAACAATTGCTTTCCGTTGGCACACACGCGCTGAGTGCCAGGAGCGTTGAGTGCCAGGAGGATAGGGGGCTAAGGAGTGGGTTCGGGAGGTACGGCAGTAGAGATGGGGACAGGGAGCAGGGGAGGGAGGGAGGGAGGGAGGGAGGGGGCATGGATGGGCAGGGAGCGGTTGGGGCGGGTGCTGGCAGGGGGGGGTGCAAGACACGACGACCACGATGGCAGTGATGATCCAGGCCGAACGCCAGTTGCACCTATTTGGACCCAGCTTTGTTGAACCCTGGTTGAGCAGCGGTCGCCGCATCTTGCGCCTGGGCTGCGGAGTTGCGGCCTGTCGAGAGGATCTGCCCAGAGCAGCGTGCAGACAACACTTCCAACAAGGTTACCGTGCTCCACCGAGGCTGCACCCCTACTCTTGCCTCTTCGGCCCATCCACAGCTAGATATCCAGGAGTTGTTGGCCTTCTGCCGTTGTCACCTTGTCCACAAGGACGCCCAAGGTCCTTCTCTCTTTACCTTGCATGCTTCCTACAGGTGTGCCTCTACGCTCTGCGAGCCGCAGACCCGACCAAGGCTCACTCCACCCCCTTTCCTGGACGCTTCCCAGTCCCGCCCCAGCGTTCCCTTCTGAACCCGTTCGGCATCTGAGCACATTCGGCGGCTGAATGGGCAGCCGAACAGGCTGAGTTCCAACACAGCGGCGGGAACCCAGGTCGGCCAAGCGGGCCCTATCCTGGGCCAATCCGGCGGCCAGAAAGGACTCGGACTCCGAGAGGGCTCCGAATGAAATCCTTGGGCAGGGTCCAATCTGGCTCGTGTTCCGAGCCGCGTCTGACCTTGGCGGCGAGGGGGATTTGCGAACGCCAGAGAACGAGGAGGATGGTGGCGTCGTAGAGGCGGCGCGAACATGCCAGGGCCTCTCCAGAGGCCTCTGGAAGCCTCTGGAGGCATTCGGGGGCCAACCGGTGCGGTGACCACACCGTGTGGTGAGTCATTCGGGATTTGGGGTGACCGCACTGTCTTCGGACCCAGGTCGTTCTCCGAACACGTCTCGGGCGAATGGGGCACACGAGGTCCCAAAGCGGTGTGGTGACGGACCGTGTGCTGAGGTTGGGGATTCCGAGGTCACCAGAACGTCTGTCATCGCACCGTTTTGGGGCCCCGAATGTCCCCCTGCTCCCGCTCGCCGTCCCTCTATCTCCTCCTCTTCTATGCATCTCCTCCCTCCTTCTGGCGAATTATTCCGCCTCCTGCTCTCGTGACTTCGATGTCCACTCGGGTCTCGCCCGCGACCTCCTCCCACGCCCTCTGGCGTGATACACCGAAGTAGAAATCACGCACACGTGAACAACAATTTTTAGCGCTCTGGGCGGGTTTCTTGGATCCGCGCTGGGCCCCCCCCCCCAGCGCCGCCCCTGGCGCGCGGAGCGCGCCAGGGAGGGGGGGTCCCGCGCGGATTCAAGAAATCTGCGCGGAGCGCCAAAAGTTCTGTTTATGGCGTTTGTTCTTCTTCTAATACGTCTGAGGCGCTCCACAAAAGGGCCTTCCTTTCGAGGATCGAATGAGTTGACATCTTTTCCTCGCCTGCGGAAGTCCGATGGACGCTGGTGGAAGTAAACTATGCGCCCCTGGAGAATTGGCAATGTTGGGGTTTCAAGATTTTGAGAATCGGCCGTATACGGCAGGTTCGTATCGTGTCGACCGGCGCCAATCCCGCCGCCGGCGTTCTACGTTGAGCGCCGCCAGCGATTCAGAATCGTTTGATGTCGAACGATTTGACGTTTCGGAAACGGCTGATTGTTTAAGGTTGAACGATCCAGACGGTGTCCGAAACGAATGCCAAGGTCGACACGACGCGAACCCGCTGTGCCAATTGTCTCAACCTCTTCCTCCTGGACGGATGGAGGGGGTGGAGAGGGTGAGGGAGGAGGATGAGGAGGAGGAGGAGAAGGAGGAGGAGGAGGGCGAGGGATGATGAGGAGGAGGAGGAGGAGGAGGAGGGGGAGGAGGGAGGAGGAGGAGGAGGAAGAGCAGACGAGGAGGAGAAGGATCAGGGAGGAGGGAGGAGGAGGAGGAGGGTCAGGGAGGAGGAGGAGGAGGAGGGGGAGAGGAGGAGGAGGAGGAGGAGGAGGAGGAGGAGGAGGATGAGGAGGAGGAGGAGGACGCGGAAGAAATACTCCCCACACCCTCTCCCGCCCTGAGAAAGGGGGGCGTGTCCGGTGCATCGGGGGAGACGGGGCGTGGGGCAGCCGCGCGTTGGGCTGCCCTTCGGTCACAGGCTGCTGCGTCGCTCGTCTTCTCTCCGAGGCTGGGATTCCACGTCGGTCGTTGAAAGTATTTTGCCATGTCCAGCTACTTATCTACATTCAGCGCCGCAGCGCCTGGGTCGAGATGGGTTCCCACTTCCCTTCTCTTCCGGGGGCGGGCGGAAGCCCAATCTACTTTCACCGCCTTCCTACTTCATGCTTCTACCCACTTCTTCCGACAGACGGGGTGACGGGTAATCGCGCCTGGGAGTACGGGGACGTGGGACAGGGTTGACGGCGTGAAGACTCTGGGAACGCCTTGTCCTCTCTATCAGCCCATCCTGCGGCGTCTTCGAGGATGGCGCGTGTTTCTGCTCCCGGCAGGCCATCGACAGGAGCCCCCGCTGTCGCCCACCAGGAGTGTTCGGCCGTGCACTCCCCGAGTGACGACAGCGATTGCATCAGTGATCAACGCCAAGGGAGTAGAAGCAGGAAGCACCTCGACCCCCATAATTGGCGTTTACTAGATGGCCCTGGGAGTTTGCTGAGCAGCCCCGCTCTGTTCGATTTGTTCCTTGGGTGTGTTTGCTAAGCGGCTTAGGTTGTCGGTTTAGGTGGTCCGATATCTGCAACGTGTCTGAGGACTGCGTGTCCGAGGCGGGGATGAATTAATCACCACCGCCTGGGGGGCCGATCTTCGGGCACCTTGGCCGGCGGCGGAAGACATGAACGTATTCGGGCATACCCCCAACCGCCGTCTGCCGAGGTCACCGAAGATCGATCACAGAGGCGGTGGTGGCGGAGTAATCCCCGCCTCGCAGTGTGCGCGCCGACGTTCAGCTCCCAGCAGATTCAGGGTCAGGTGTCAGGGACCTGAGCTCACGATGCATCAACGATGTTGCAATGCACCCTTCTTCCAAGTTCCCTCTTCATAGGTCCCTGAAATGGCGGGAAGTGGCCCATCAACAGGCAGTCGTCAGAGAGTCCGCAATCATGCCAAAACACACTGTTCAGCGCCGCGGATCAGCGTGACTATTGCGTCCTGACGATCTCCAAACCATGCCATAAGATCATCCCGGGGATGTCGACATCGCGAAACAGTGTGACCGTTGCGCCCTGATCTTCCTAGGTCCTGCTAGAACGCCACTCGAGGGACTTCGATCACACGAATCCTTGAGGCTGTCGTGAACACGTTTGACGACTGTGAGCGGCGCTTAGGCGAGAGCTACAGGTTGAAAAGGAGCCGCTCTGCATCCGTGCACCTGCTGCAAAGGATGAACCCGAGTGTGCGCGGCGCCAAGGAGAGATCCGCATTCTGGAAACGATCCGCAATCCGTCCGAGAACTTGTTGCAAGCCTTTTCAGGCGAACGTGCGCAGCTCTGAGGCGAGAGCCAAATTTTGAAAGCTACCCGCCGTCCATCCGTGAATACTTTGCAAGGTTTGCAGGCGAACGTGCCAAACTTTGAATTGCAAGCTTCAGGATCATAACTGGCGAGGAAGTCTCAGGCGAAACGCCCGGCTCGCCCTGCCGATTCGTCTGGGGGTGCGACAGGGGGGAGCTATATTCATCAGGAAGAGGGATGGAGGAGCAGAAAATGGAGGAGGAGGACGAGCACGAGGAGGAGGAGGAGGAGGAGGAGGAGGAGGAGCACGAGGAGGAGGAGGAGGGGGAGGAGGAGGAAGAGGAATTGGAGCAGGAAGAGGAGTTGGAGGAGCAAGAGGAATTGGAGGAGGAGGTGGAGGATGAGGAGGGGGACGAGGAGGGAGACGAGGGGGAACTGGAGGAGGAGGAGGAGGAGTAGGAAATGGAGGAGCAGGTGTTCCCCCTGACCACTCTTCAGGCGAGGTCTTCGCTTCTGACAGCGTGGCTGGACGACCAGGCAGAACAAACAAGCCAAGACAACCTGGCCTCAGAGGACGACGGACCACCGCCGCCCCTTCGCTGCTCGCTCACGACACCACATCTGGATGCCTGCGTGCAGGGACCACGGGGCACATCCCCCTTCCTGCCGCAGCGCCACCCCCACAAGGGCCACGACTTGGCAGAGACTTCAGCTCTCCCGGGGCCCGAGGAGGAGTTGCAGGAGGAGGGAGACTTGGAGCAGCAGAGGCTCTCGGAGCGCCTCCGCCTCCTCCTCCTCCTACTACTCCTCCGCCTCCTCCTCCTCCTCCTCCTCCTCCTCCTGCTCCTCCTCCTCCTCCTCCTCCTCCTCCTCCTCCTCCTCCTCGCAGCAGTCTTCGATGGGGGCGGCCCGGCGCACGGCTCCCGCCCGGCAGGTGGCCAGCCTCATCGGCGGCGGCGGCGGCGGTGGCCCGCGCCCTTCTGCTGCCCGGCCCCCTCTCCTCACCGAGCGCGCTCCACTGCGCGCCAAGGTCCCAAAAAGCACAACTGCCGTTCGATGCAGCGGGTTCCTTGCCTCGACAGGGGGCCACCTGCCAACCCTACCCCTACCCCCCACGATTTCTGAGGGGGAGGGCGGGGGGTTCACTTCGTTCGGGAGCTCCCGAGCGGAGGGAACCCCACCCTCCCCCCTCAGAAGTTGTGGGGGGTAGGGGTCGGGTTCGCAGGTGCCCCCCTGTCGAGGCAGCGGATCCGGGCCGCCTGCGAGCAGCTGCTTGGCGAGGAGTGGAGCGCGCGTGTCTGCCGCGCCGGACCTGCGGCCCCGCTTCTTGGGCGACGGGGGCCCGTGCTCGCCGGCAGGCTGTTCTCCCCCAGTCTCAAGTCGGGCCTGTCCCTTCTTTACAGGGGGAATACCCAAAACTAGTCAAAAAATCGTCTTGGGACTGTCTTTTGAGCATGTTTTGACTATTTAGGAGTATTTTTTAGTATTTTTTATTTTTCGTCGAAACTCCCCCTGTATGGGGGACAGGCCCGACTTAACCCCAGTCCTGGGGTTCGCCCGAACGGTCTGTCCGTTCAGGAAGGTGATCGTTTTTTATTCGGTATTTTGCCGATCGGCGCGGGCCCTCGCATCCCCCCCCTTACCCCCCCCCATGGAGTGGATCTTGGCTGTTTTTGGGCGCCTGTTTCGAGCGGGTGGAGTCCCTCCCCCACGGGCCGCACTCCTGCAAACAGTCGCACTGAGCAGAGGTCCAGAGCCAGACTTTTCCCTCCTCCCCCCCCCTTCCGCCCAATGTCGAAACGCCACATAAAAAGCCTGGCGAAGGACCCAACCATATGCAGTTGTGAATATTGCAAATATGAATATCGTTTTCGGTGGCGCTACCTCTGGGTAGGGGAGACGCATGCGAATACCCCCACTTGGGCCTTCGGTGGAGCTCCCTATGGGGCTACGAAACGCTGCCCTGGGTGGGGGAACCGCATGCGGGCACCCCCACTGGGGCCTTCGGTGGAGCTCCCTATGGGGCCACGAAACGCTGCCCTGGGTGGGGGAACCGCATGCGGGCACCCCAACTGGGGCCTTCGGTGGAGCTCCCTATGGGGCTACGAAACGCTGCCCTGTGTGGGGGGACCGCATGCGGCAGCCCCACTGGCGCCTACGGTGGAGCTCCCTATGGGGCCACGAAACGTTGCCCTGGGTGGGGGAACCGCATGTGGACACCCCCACTGGGGCCTTCGGTGGAGCTCCCTATGGGGCTACGAAACGCTGCCCTGGGTGGGGGAACCGCATGTGGACACCCCCACTGGGGCCTTCGGTGGAGCTCCCTATGGGGCTACGAAACGCTGCCCTGGGTGGGGGAACCGCATGCGAACACCCCCACTGGGGCCTTCGGTGGAGCTCCCTATGGGGCTACGAAACGCTGCCCTGGGTGGGGGAACCGCATGCGAACACCCCCACTGGGGCCTTCGGTGGAGCTCCCTATGGGGCCACGAAACGCTGCCCTGGGTGGGGGAACCGCATGCGAACACCCCCACTGGGGCCTTCGGTGGAGCTCCCTATGGGGCTACGAAACGCTGCCCTGGGTGGGGGAACCGCATGCGAACACCCCCACTGGGGCCTTCGGTGGAGCTCCCTATGGGGCCACGAAACGCTGCCCTGGGTGGGGGAACCGCATGCGAACACCCCCACTGGGGCCTTCGGTGGAGCTCCCTATGGGGCTACGAAACGCTGCCCTGGGTGGGGGAACCGCATGCGAACACCCCCACTGGGGCCTTCGGTGGAGCTCCCTATGGGGCCACGAAACGCTGCCCTGGGTGGGGGAACCGCATGCGAACACCCCCACTGGGGCCTTCGGTGGAGCTCCCTATGGGGCCACGAAACGCTGCCCTGGGTGGGGGAACCGCATGTGGACACCCCCACTGGGGCCTTCGGTGGAGCTCCCTATGGGGCCACGAAACGCTGCCCTGGGTGGGGGAACCGCATGTGGACACCCCCACTGGGGCCTTCGGTGGAGCTCCCTATGGGGCTACGAAACGCTGCCCTGGGTGGGGGAACCGCATGTGGACACCCCCACTGGGGCCTTCGGTGGAGCTCCCCATGGGGCTACGAAACGCTGCCCTGGGGGGGGGAACCGCATGTGGACACCCCCACTGGGGCCTTTGTGGAGCTCCCTATGGGCTACGAAACGTGCCCTGGGTGGGGGAACCGCATGTGGACACCCCCACTGGGGCCTTCGGTGGAGCTCCCCATGGGGCTACGAAACGCTGCCCTGGTGTGGGGGAACCGCGCTATGCGGGCCCCCACTGGGGCCTTCGGTGGAGCTCCCTATGGGGCCACGAAACGCTGCCCTGGGTGGGGGAACCGCATGTGGACCTGGGGCCTACGGTGGAACTCCTTATGGGGCTACGAAACGCTGCCCTGGGTGGGGGAACCGCATGTGGACACCCCCACTGGGGCCTACGGTGGAGCTCCCTATGGGGCTTCGAAACGTTGCCCTGGGTGGGGGAACCGCATGTGGACACCCCCACTGGGGCCTTCGGGAGAGCTCCCTATGGGGCTACGAAACGCTGCCCAGGGTGGGGGAACCGCATGTGGACACCCCCACTGGGGCCTTCGGTGGAGCTCCCTATGGGGCTACGAAACGTGTGGGGGGGTGTGCCGAGAGCAGAGGCAAGGAGGGGGAGGAGGGCGAGGAGGAGGAGAAACGCGGGGCACCGTCTCTTCAAAACGAGGACCCAACACCAAAGGATGGTTGGGAAAAACACTCATAAGAGGGGGAAGCCCTTGGGATATACCCCAAGGGGGCTATTCGGACGCACCCCTAACGAGGATGATCGCTCCCCGATCGTATATCCCAGGGGTGGGTCCCAAATGTTTGGTCCGTTCGAAAACCCCACGAAGCCTGGTATAGGGGTCGACATGTCCCTTGTTAAATTCACCGAATAATTGTCTGAGTGAGGGGGGCGTTGGCTAAAGAGCCCTGCCCTGTTCGATTCCTTCCTTTGGTGCGTTTGCCAAATCCAGGCCACCCAGATGGGGTCCAAGCAGATTGGGTCGGAGGATCTCGCCGCATCGCCGATGCATCGGCGATGCGGCTCGATGTGGATCCAGATTTTCTCCACATCGACGTCGGCGATGCATCGCCGACGTCGCCGATGCATCGCTGGTGCATCGCCGATGCATCGGTGCTGTGATGCATTGATGATGCGGTGCAATCTTCCGACCACATCTACTCGGACCCCATATGGGAGGCCTCTGCTAAACGCCTTCGCGTTGTCGGGATTCTTATGTTGAGGGTTGTTGTTTTTCCTGCGCTCAGGGACAGGTTCGCGCCGGCTACAGGAGATCGCTGTCTGGCCTGGTGCAGGATTCGTTCACGGTGTGCCACAGCATGCTTGTAAACGTTCGGAGCCCCTCGCGGATTTCCTGGATCTTCGCAGGAATTCCCCGGCGGCGCCTCCCGCGAGAGCCCCTGGCGCGCTCCACGCGCCTGCGTGCCAGGAAGGGGGGTTCAGCGCAGATTCAAGAGATTCGCGCGGACCTGCAAATGTTCATGTTTACGCAGTTTCCCTTATGCTATGAATCGGATGAACAATATTGACTGTAAGCTAGTTTGTGCGCCCTCCTGGGCGGGGTTGCCGTCCCGGAGGCCCGCGCGGAAATGTAGGAGTTGCTGGAAAACTGGGCTTCCTTGCCCTCACTGCATGAGCCTTGGGGCACTCCGCTTCGTGCTGAAGGCAGGGTGGCGGATAATAATAGTAGGACACATACTTACACGACCACCCTTCGGATGGTAAGGAGGTTTTGGGGGGAAGTAGTAACTACTTGTAATTGCGATAGTTGTGCTGATGACGAGCCCACAGTCTATCTGACTATCGATCTTGCGATCGTTCATACGATAATCATACGATCATCTAACACGATAAGCTAACTGATGCGTGGTTTTGTCGTCCCAGGAATGGTTATGGTCTGGCAGGGTGTCGGATTGTCAGGGCACAACAGTCACGTTGGTTTGTGGTGTTGAATTTCCAGGGATGGTTTTATGGCACGGTTCAGGGTCGTCAAGGCGTAACATTAAATGTGTTTCGTGGTGCCCAGGAATGGAGTTCTAAAACAGCTCAGGATTTTCAAGCGGCTGTTTTCCAACAGGGCGCTTCCCTCAGTGAGCATGAATCATTGTAGGGGCCTGTGAAGAGGGAGCTTGGATGGAGGGTTTGTCGAAATATCGTTGACGAGTCTTGGGTTTGCACGGGTTCTCCTCCTCCTCCTCTTCCTCCTCCTCCTCCTCTTTCCCGTCCCCTCTGTCATCCTCCTTTCTCCTCTCCTCTCCCCTTCCTCTCCTTCTCCACCTCCCACTCCTCCTCCTCCACCTCCCCGTCCCCCTCCCCCTCCCCTCCTCTGCTCGCCAGCATCCCTCCTGTGTCCACCCCTCCCCCCTCTGCTTCCCCGCCCCAGCCCATGGCCAGGACGACGACGACGGCGACGCCGCCCCGTGGCAGGGGGCGCCTCCTCGGACGATGAAGACTGCGCTCCGGCGGTCTACCCCGCGTGCTCTGGAGCCGCCCGCGGCTGCGCGCGCGGCGGGGCGCCTGGTCCCAAGTGCGGAGGGGGCCCGGATGATGGAGGGAGGAGCCGGAACGAGGAGCTGGGGGGGGGCACCTCGGGCGAGGGGCATTTTCCTCCCCCCCGAAAACTAAATATCGAAAACGGAACGAGGAGCTGGGGGCACCTCGGGCGAGAGGCACCTTCAGCAGCCCCCGAGTTCTGTGGCCTCCCTGCGCCCTCCACGGGCCCGGCCACGGTTTCGAGGAAGGTTCGGGGCCCGGTGGCCGTTCTTCTTTGTTGCCTCGGGGCTCCAGAGACGGGGGTCAATGCGAACGGGGGTCAGCCAGGGCGCCCGATCTTGCAGGATCCTGCAGGGCCAGGGCCGCATTGACCCGGGCTCGGGTGCAGGATCCTGCAGGATCTTGCAGGATCCTTCCTTCGCATTGACCCGGGTTTGTGTGCAGGATCTTGCAGGATTTTGCAGGATTTTGCAAGGCCTGACTGACCCAGGTCTGGATTGACCAGGGTCAGAAGCTCCCCGAGGGAGGTAGGCAGAGGACGAGGAGGAGGACGAGGAGGAGGAAAAGAAGGAGGAGGACGAAGATGGAGCCAGTGTAAGCCCGAGGCCCAGCAACGATGTTGCGATGCACCGTCCCTCCAAGTTCCGTTTGGAGATTCCTCTCGCTTCGCGGGGTGCGCGTCCGGACCACGTGCAGTCCAGTCGTTGTGGGGACTTCTGGGAGCCTCTTGGGTGCCTCTTGGAGGTTTCTTGGAGGCCTCTGGTGGTCCCTTTGGGGTCTCTTTGGGCCCTTGGAGCTGTCTTGGCGGGTAGTGGGGCGCTCTTGCGCCGTTTGGTCCCTTTGGAGGCCGTCTTGGGGGCTACTCGGGGCCATCTTGGGGCTATCTTGGGGTCCTTCTGAGCCGTCTTCAGGGCCTCTTGGACCGGTTGGCCTCCCTTGGGCAATCTTGGGGCGTTCTTGGGCTGTCTTGGGGCCTTTGGGGCCGTATAGGGGTCATCTTGGAGGCTGCTTGGACCGTCATGGGCCGCTGACAGCCCAAAGCTGCGAGAACGCCACAATTTTTAAACAGCTTACGGAACATCAATCTTTTGGGCCTCTGGAACCTCTCAGAGCCATGGTTCTTGTGCGAACCGTGCCTCTACCCGCCACACAGCGCGTGCAAGAGCACGTCGCGGCCGCAGGACCGCGGCTGTGCAGTTCGCGCCGTGGCCCATAGGAAGTGCGCACCCTGTGCGAACGAGCGCAAGCAAGGCAAGAGGTGCGCGGAGAGAAAAACAACATATGATCCTGTCAGGGGCAGCATGCGGTTGAACTTGGGCCCGATGGGGCCATTTTGGAGGCTACACGTGGCCGCTACGGGGACCCATTCTCGGAGCTGCTCGGGCCGCCAGGGGGTGCGGAGAGGTCAAGAAGTCGACGCCCGCGGCATGTGTCAAGAAAAGTCGAAGGCGCTGCTTTTTTGCCTCCGGAAGAGCCCTTGGGACCCTTCTTGGGGTCCTTAGAGAGCTCTCTCGGCGGCGTTTGGGTCCCTCTGAGGCCTTCTTCGGGCCTCCGGAAGGCCTGACGGGCCGCCTGCGCGCGCTCCTGTGCTGCCCGGCCCCTTCGGAGGCCGTCTTGGGAGCCACTCGGGTCCGCTTGGAGGCGCTTCGGGGATGCTCGTGGGCCGTCCTGGAGGCCTCTTGGACCGTCTTGGCGGCCTCTTGGGGCATCTTCGGGCTTTCTTGGGCCGTTTGAGGCGCTTCGGGGATGCTCGTGGGCCGTCCTGGAGGCCTCTTGGACCGTCTTGGCGGCCTCTTGGGGCATATTCGGGCTTTCGTGGGCCGTCCAGAGGCCTCTTGGACCGTCTAGAGGCCTCTTGGACCGTCTAGAGGCCTCTTGGACCGTCTGGAGGCCTCTTGGACCGTCTAGAGGCCTCTTGGACTGTCGTGGGCGGCCTCTTGGGGCATATTCGGGCTTTCTTGGGCCGTCTAGAGGCTCTCCCGTGTGCCTCTCGGGCCGTTTGGGGGGCCGTCTTGGGGGGCAGCTTGGGCCGCAGGGGCCCCCGGGATTCCGAGAAGGCGGAAGCGCAAACACACGCGCACATGCGCACGCACGCGCACGTGCACGCGCACGCGCACGTGCACGCACACGAACACGCACGCACGCACGCACGCGGACGCACATACGCACGCACGCGCGCGCACGGATGCACGCACGCACGCGCTCACGCACGCACGCGCTCACGCACGCACGCGCGCACGCACCTACGCACGCACGCGCGCACGCGCGCGCACGCACAGACGCACGCACGCACGCACGCACAAACACAAACCACTGGAACATCAACGTATTTGGCTTTGGGGTGCGCTCTTGCTTTTGGTGCATTTTGGGGCGTTCTGGGGCCTCTTGAGCCGTCTTGGGGCCGCCCTGGGCTGGCTTGGAGCCCTTTGGAGCCGTCGTGGAGCCCTTCCGTGGACGCTGGGGGGTGGGGCACGAGGCCAAAATCATCGGTTGCCCTTTGGTTTTTGCAAGTTTTTTTGAAAAACAAACTGCGCGAATGGGTCGGCGTCTCGGCGCGAGCCTAGGGGGGGGATAAAAAAGGGGGTGCTTTGCACTGTATGTATTCCCCACCTAGGCTCTGCCTAGAAGGGTTCTTACTCGGTTTGCTTAAAGGGCCCGGCAGTGTAATGTGACCCGGGCGGTTCCCCTGGCATCCGCCCCGCGGATCCCCCAGTCCCCTGGGAGCGGTTCCCCCAGTTGCGCCCCCTAGCTTTAGCTTTAGCTTAGCTTTAGCTTTAGCTTTAGCTTTAGCTTTAGCTTAGCTTTAGCTTAGCTGTAGCTTAGCTTTAGCTTAGCTTTAGCTTAGCTTTAGCTTAGCTTTAGCTTAGCTGTAGCTCAGCTTTAGCCTAGCTTTAGCTTAACTTTCGCTTAGCTTTAGCTCAGCTTTCGCTTAGCTTTCGCTTAGCTTTAGCTTAGCTGTAGCTCAGCTTTAGCCTAGCTTTAGCTTAACTTTCGCTTAGCTTTAGCTCAGCTTTCGCTTAGCTTTCGCTTAGCTTTAGCTTAGCTTTGGCGTAACTTTAGCTTAGCTGTAGCTTAGCTGTAGCTCAGCTTTAGCTTAGCTTTAGCGTTACTACTAATGCTGCTTTCCTAGGGGCTCCAACTCCTAGGTAGGGTCGCACTGGGATAATTTTATAATGCAATGTTTTGCAGTTGCCCTTCCTTGGCGTCTCCTGGCCAGGCCCTTGCGTCGCGCGCCCGTCCTGTCGGACTGCCGAAACGCTTCGTTGCAGTCTGGACGTGGGTTCGTGGGTTCTCGGAGGCCCCTTAGGGCGTTTTGAGGGTGTCTTGAACCGTTTGGCCGCCATCTGGGCCGTCCTGGGGGATCTTCCGGCGACTCGAGGCCCCCTTGGACCGTCTTGGGGGCCTCTTGGACCGTCTTGGTTCGTTGTGGGGCCCTTGATCCTCCCAAGACGCGTTCGGGCCAGGCCCGCGGGGGAGCTGTTGGGGGGGGGCATCTCACGCGCTGACGACGCGCCACATGGGTCTGCGGAGTTTGCCGCCACGAGCACATTGCAATGTTTTTGTTGGAGGGATGGTGGGCCTGCACGCGCGGGGTAGTATGATGCCCCCGCCGTCGTGTAAAACAATGCACTGTGATGGCGGGGCGTCTGAAGATGATCCAAACCATGCCGCCAGTGCACTTTCGATTGTATCGTGACAGGGATGATGGGGAGGTCGTTTTTGCTCCTGGTCGGCCGCCGGTCGAGGGGGCGGTGGAATCATTCTCCGAGGGGAAGCAGGTTTGGAAGAGAGGCCCCCCCAACCCACAGGCGCCAAGAGGGCTGTGTGGATGTCGTTTGCGGGTGTGGTCTTTGGATTCGTGTATGCCGCGAGATAGCATTCGTCGCAGGAGCTGAACTCGTCTCGAAAGTTTGGTCGGGATGATGTTCAGGAGAAGCGTGGCGGGGAAGTAATTGAAGGGGACATGAGGGGGGAAGGATATGATGCGACGGGAGTGGAGCGCCCGTGAATTAGCCTTGAGGCGATGCCGATGAACGTAGGAACAATACCTGTCTTTGAAGTGCGCGTGGGAATTCCAGAAATCATGTCTCCGATGCACCACTGGTTGATTATTGTGCCATCTTTGACGGGTCGAGGGCCGTCCCGATGGCATCTATGTTTTCGAGCCGTTGTGGGCGCTTTGGGGAAAGATGTGTGGCGTGTCGGGGCCCTATTGGACGGTCTACCGCGCGCTCGCGAAAGATTCCCCCGGGCCCCCCGGCAATAGCGGCACCGCCCGCACTAGCAGTCTTGCCTCCTGCGATTGGCATTTTCAATGTTTGCCGTGCGCGCATGTCGATCCCGGCGTGAAGGCACGTTTACCGACCGCGGGTATCTGTCAACATTCCAGAGCAATGCTTATCGAAGACGCCTACGGCGAATCACCGCCTTCTAGAATCGCCCACGTGGCCGGGCGTTGTGGCAAAAGCTCTGCCAAGGTATCGGGCCATGTGTTCCCCCAACCGTTGTGGAAACCCTTCGGGGAACACTTGGGGGAGGATGGCGGGGAAGATCAAGAGGCGGCGGAGGAGGAGGTGGAGGAGGAGGAGGAGGAGGAGGAGGAGGAGGAGGAGGGGGCATCTCGGGAGCCTCTGGGGACACTCTTGGGCCCTCCTGGGAGCTCCCTGGGAGCCTCTTGGCTTGGACCTTTGAGGGCTTCTCGGAGGCCTCGTTGGCCGTCTTGGTGGGCTCCTGGCCCGTCTGACGCCGTCGGAAGCCGTCTTGGCGGCCTCTCTGGGCCGACTTGGGGCATTCTTGGGGTGCTCCAGGGCCGTCTTGGAGGCCATCTTGAGCGTCTTGGAGGCCTCTTGGGCCGTCTCGGGGGCCTCTTGGGGCCGTCTTGGGGGCCTCTTGGGCCGTTCTGGGCCATACTGGAAACCTCTTGGGTGATCTTTGGGGGCTCTTGGGCCGTCTCGGTCCGTCGGAAGGCCGGAAACATGCAAATGCCACAA